ACTTAAAATAACAATAATGAGGCTACAAGTGGCAGAAATGAAATATTAGCATGCAAGAGTCACGTAAACACTTTTAGTGTGCGAGTGGAGTCTTTTTTAATGTTTAATACCGGTCTCGTTTTCTCGATAAGCCTTTCTCATAGTCCTTCGTGGTTGTAGGTGGCCTTGTGCTCTCTTATCTTGTGCTTCGCTTGTCTTGGCTCGCATTGTGTATATTTTTCTCCTTGCCAGCTCACCTTTCGAAGCTCGACTTGAAGGCAATTCTATTCGTTAATGTACAAAGTCTCAAAAATCAAACAATCGAACTTCGATCCACCTTTCCTCATAATTGAAAAGTCGATGGTATAAGTGTCGTGCCTTGTTTTGATTCTTTTGCCATATATTTAGATTCAGTCCTTTTATTCATTTCTTATTATACGTGACGTTAACTTGAAGCCGTCGAAACGTGGAGATTTAGTTTTTTATTTAATTGTCGTCTATATCTCGTCTATTTTTATCGCATTGTTTTATAGAGTGTTTTCTATTGCTCATAGCATCATACGAGTTTTACATTTCTCAACCAAGAAAGTTCTGAAAAAGTCAACTAATCAGTTAATGTGTAATGGACCGAGCATTTTTCAGAAGCAAGCAGCAGAATTCAAATAATTCCTTAATACATCATGGAAGACAAGATGAGAACGTGATTCAGAATGAACAAATAGACATCTACTCGAGGTAAATACGCCTAGTTGTTATTAATGAATGATAGTCGACGTCGGGGAAACATAACTTGAACACATCTCTCTATGGGATCATAAAATTTACGTGGGATCAGGGATCAAAATTTGGAGCTAAAAATTGGGATCAGCGATGAAAAAATATACCTGGTTACGACCCTGCCTTAACGATTTGTCTGAACTCTTATGTTCGCTGTATGCTACTAGGAATACACGAAGAACTTAAGTAACAACATGTAACTGAGTAAAAAATCGGTACAGTAAATTATCTGCTTTAAAGTAGATGTGCCCGGAAATCTACTCCAAGGAAGTGTCGTAAGCGACCACCTTCTGTAAGTGACCACAAAGCGTTAGCCTTTACAGTGGTCGCCTACGGGAGATTTGACTGGACCTTGAAAATTTCATGTTATGATATTCTTAATATTATGCATTGTTCTTTTTAGGGTGGTACAATAGCTGTTCTCAGTGTTATGGAAAGACCTTATTTCTTTGCAAGTGCTATTTTTAGTGCACCAAGCGTAAAAGTGGATGCCAATCCTTGCAGGGTAATTTATTGCTCCACTTGCTACAAATAATAAACGAAAACACAATGCAAAGACTGTTTCTTTTTTCTTAGGGTGCCGTCAATGCAAAACAGGATATAGCACACCCAAAACAGAAAAACACTACCAAAAAACAGAAATACAAATCCCAAAACAGAAATAAACATCCCAAAGCGGAAACACGTACAAAAAAATACAAAACTGAACCACAAAACTGAAAGAGAATTTAAAAATACAAACCATGATCAAAAACCCCAAAACAGAAACAAGGAACTAATGTAAAACAATAGTTTCTCATGATTCATCGTCTTTTAATTATCTTAACCCTTGATCAGGGGGGGTTTTTTATAGGGAGGGCATGATCACAGGCTATAATAGCCCATTTCCGAGTTCCAAAAACTCTCGCTTTACAAACGAGGCTAAAGATATAGTAAAACGGACAACAAATTGCTGCAGAACGAGTCCGAAAGCGATGCTGCGCGTTTTATTGCCCATAAATTAAACCTGTCTTGTCGCAAATAAGATTCAGTGTTGCAAGTTGCGTAAATACTGACTCCTAATTGGATAAAATTACGCGGGATTCACGCCATACACAGGAGTTACGTCACTTGCTGCAAAACAAGTTTGCTTTGGGTCGGTAATTAAAACGCGCAACATTGACAGTTTTTG